TCGGCGCTCTGTAGTCTACGTGACGCATTCTTTATGGCCGAGAGTAACCCTGAAGGAGGGGGAACGACGCCGCTAGGCCGACGCGTGCTGTCCCTTGGCAACCGCGTCGGAGCCGCGTGGTTGGTGCGTGACGTCATAGCCGGAGAACGACGCCTCTTTGTTCTTCTGTTTCCTTGGAAAGAATGACAGTTAGGTTTCGGGAGAGTTCCCGGACAACAGCACGTGGGAGAGCACGAGGTGGAAATGAATAGCCCGTGTTTTCTTTTTTTCCTCACGGCAAAAAAAAAAATAGAGAAAACCTCCCCCTGCCCCACAAGACTGCTATCCTGTACCCTCAGTTAGTGGATAATAAACCCCATAGAAAACCTACTGTTCATTTGACATTATAAGGATTGCACATCGGTGCTGGATTCACGCCCAAGCTAAAGTACCGTTTAGGACTTTCGAGGGGTCTCTAAAATACCATAAAGTAAGATAAATTTGGAACCAATTAAAATTTCAAGGTTTACTCGATTGTTAATTCGATCTAAGAGGGTGTAATCCAGATCTTCAGTTCCTAGGAAGGCTGACAATGGCAATTAGTTTGTGGAAGCCAGGATCCCTGTAGCAATTGGCGGGAATCTGATAGAGAGCCCTAGAGCAAATTGGGGGAGCTGGAAAGAGAAGATCCATGAGCAAGCCAGAAGTCAAGCAAGGCCAGGCAGCTATATCAGAGAACAAGCAGAGAGAGGCCACGAAGCATAGTCAAGCAGCCCAGAAGGGATAGCTGCAAAGAGGCAGCTGGAAAGGTCAGGGTGCAGAACAGGCAGAGTCTGGAAGAAGAGGCAATTGCTTCAACAATCTCCCAGTCCAAAACTAGGGCGTAAAGCCGCATTTGTGGAGTGCCATTAAGAGTTCAGCTGCAAGCACTTGGTCAACTAGGAAACAAGCTGAGTGCAGTGCTTGGCCTGTTTCTCTCTGTCAGAAAGAGCCTCCCTCTTGCTTTTGATAATGTCTTTTCTTCCCAAGACTCTTTCCTGCAGCTCAACACTTTGCTTGGGAGTTCCCAGTTTGCCGGGAGCCTTTAAAATTATTGTTGTTGTTTTTGAATCGGCAACAGCAATCGCAGGTGATTTTTTTTCTATTAAAAATCCACCCTTCACACTCCAGGGCTACCAAAGAGCGAAAGGGAAAACTTGAGAGTCTTGGAACCTAAAATGAGAGGATAGTTCTCTGGGGAGGGCAATGTGTAGCTTGCATAATTAAATTGTAAACTGCCCAGAGCTATGGGGAAGTATATAAGCAGTGTGCTATGCTTTGATTAGTGTAAATTAATTTTCTCTGGTGCCTAAACTGGTTGCAAAGCTATATAACCAGATTTTGCCCACTGTCTCCCTCCCACAGGATTTGATTTAAAGCCCTCTTGCCCAGGTTTGCAAGACTCCAAGCAGATGCATTCTTCTGTGCCTATGAGGTGTAACCCATTGCTTTCCTAGATTCCTATACAGAAACACAGGCTATAGACTAGTGGTTCCCAAGTTTGGGTCCACAGATATTCTTGGACTAAAACTCCCAGAAAGCTTCACCACTAACTATGCTGGCCAGGATTTCTGGGATTTGTAGTCCAAGAACATCTGGGGAGCCAAGTTTGGGAACCACCACTATAGACCAAGAAACAAAATATTTTCCATTGATATCATCTGTGCAACCAGTAATCCACTTTCAGCTTCCTCACTCTTTTCCTTTAAAAAAACGTATCACAAAGTCCCTCACCCTCCTATCCAAAGCCTCACTTGCAAGATGTTAAAGGCTATATCTAGTAGCATTGTATGTTCCCATGTGAATTTTAAAAAATGAGATAATGATCAGTGAGCTTGTTGAGCCTTGGCAAGCCTGTCATGTCCTGGATTGTTGCAAAGGGAGACAGTGTGTCTCCCAACACATCATTTTAGGTCTGCAAATTGATGTCCCTGCCACTCTCTGGAAGAAGTCACCTACCACCCCGAAACATCTCCCCCTCTAGGAAGTTACAGAAATTCTTCCTTCTACATAATCCTTTATGTCCATTTCTATGTTCTTTGTTGTCTGCTCACCCTATTTCAGCAAATCAAAATCACTTCTTGATTCTGTACATCCAAGCACATAGCATTCTTTCTGCTTGTCTTGCTTCTCTGTGTCACCTCCCTCTCAAGTGCCTGGCTCCTGCATTTTGTATTATTCTTCCCATCCTCCCTGTTGCTGTTCCAGAAGAAAAATTTTATTTTCCATGACAAGCTGAAGTGTGGACAGGTGGGCCTCAAGTTGCTGTACTTTCTCTTCTAACAAGACAACCAGCTTGCATTTGCTTGCTGCTGCTATGGGTTTTTGCATCTTAAGGCAAGACGATAAATAAGTCACATGTGTTTCAGGTCACTGGAGAGCTTCTCTCTTATCCTAGGTGGGTGGTAAAGCAACACTACAGGCCTCCCCTTCAGACTCCCCAACAAAACACCAAGGCAACACTGAAATCTTAGATTACTTCTGTTGTTCCATCAGCTTCTGCTCACAACCCTTCAGAGGTCCTGAATGCCAATATAAACATTAACACTGCTAACTCCTTCCCCGAAAAAGTCAGTGCTATCACTTTTTATCAGTCCTCACTTCTGTAGTCCCTTCAGCTAGCACCCTGTACTTGGACCAGGGCACATTGTTGCAATAAAAAAGTCACAAATATACAAACAACCCTCCAAGAGGCTCAGACAATTAGCTTCAGGCCAACAAAGAGCCTCATTCTCCCCTGTCTCTTCCACTAATCCCATGCAACCTGTTCACAAATTCTTGCTCACAACCTTATAGGGACTGTCGGTACAGCTATAGACCTGACCACTGCATAGTACAGAGGTTTTCCTGTTGCTTCTGACATAGCTTAGTGAGCCTAGTTAGAGGAAGAGGCATTAGATTAGAATCTTACTGCATAAAATATTTAGCGGGCAACATGTTGAAAAGTGGTGAACGTTATGATGCCCAGTCATACTTAAATGTCTTGTTTGTATGGTTTGATAGGTATGTGAAAGGAAGAGGTGAGTGAAGAGCACAGAATGTTAGTAAGAATGGTTCTGATTGCCTGGGAGAGAAACTAGATAAGGAGTGTGTGTGTGTATGTATGTGTGTGTTGGGGAGTCGTGTCTAAATAGAAATCAGTCTTGAGTTGGACATAGAGGAGTAGTCTGGTATAGAGAGATCAGTAAAAAGGTGGTTCTGGGGTTTGAGAGATAAGTCTGAGAGAGAGATGGGGTAAGTAATAGAGGAAAGGATTGTACTGCATGAATGTAAAGCCTAGGAATAAACAATTTTCTT